AGTTGCGACAAATAAAAATCATCTTGTAAACGAAATATGATAACTTTAACTACATGGTTAAGAAGTTTACAATTTTGGTAAAACAATAAAGATCCTTCTATCCATGGGGGAACTTAGTTTTACCATATCTGGAGAGTTTTGGTTAATCTGAAGTATTCTTATGTGTAGAGAACCCAATATGATATCATACCTGACTCTTGACCATTTAGTATCAGATTGGCTGGACCCAATTGAAGTTTTTAAAGAATTTTTTTCTACACTATTTTGTTTTTGTACTTTTTATTCTAAATTTGGTCTGAAGCATCCTATGGAATCGGTTACTCGGTTTTGCTTAAAGGCAGTTGATTTTGACCCAATTCTTAATTGGTTTGGTGTATTTTATATTGTATAACGTCCTTTCAAAAACTAAGGCCATTTAACGACGGCCTCCTGAATTATGAAAGATGAGTTTATTTCTTGAGTATTTTTAAGTTTTTGTAAGACTACTTGCAACAATGTGGAACTGAAACCTACATTGAAGTGCTCTCACACTATGTCGAAGGTCCCTAGTTAGACACCCACTGGGTCACATTGAACTTATAATTTGAGAACCAGTCTTTGAAACCACCACAATACTAGCCATTAAGCAGGGAAAACATTATGTGACCACTTGCCTTTTACATTTCACATTTGAAAACTTTTTCTTGAGTCCTGTGATAGTACTGAACAAGAGGAGGGAATGGTGAGGACAGCAAGCCGACAAAGTGTCCTTAAATTTTTCAGCGTCATTGAAACGTCAGAACGACAACCATTGTGGCCATTTTGTGACATGATTGTGCATTCGTTGTTTTTTTGTCAAATTAATTCAAACAAGTTTCAGCTGAATCACATTGGTGATGTTTTAAAAAGTTATAAAAGATGGCTGTCGACAAGACATTACACAATAAAAAAAAAAACAACGTTGATGTCTTGCTGGATTGATGACATGTCTGAGACAGAAATATAACCACAAAACAATATTTATGAAATGATGTTCAGTATATGTTGATAAATGATTGTACAAGACACACACGTGAATAGAACCGTTTAATAATTTAAAGTTAGATAGCAGTACATTATGTGTGCTGACACTATGTTTAAAATAATACCCTAGTGCTTCCCATTATTTTAACTTGTTACGAAACATCACATTTGAAATTGGATGCAATCGATCGATTAAGAGTTATCAAAAACGAACCATGGCTATACTTGGTTTTATTGTCAAGAGATTCATCTTATGGAATTTTCCTCTCTTTATTTTCATCCCAAACTTTAAACAATGATTTCGCAGATATTTCGATAATTTCAAAGTGGAATAAAGTTTATTAGTACAGTATGTAAATAATTATTTATATCTCGTGTTAAGAGATCCATAGAAACAACGTTTCATAGGGATCACTGTACACATGTTCATGCCTGTATTAGTGGATATAAAATTTGAAGAATAACCAAACACGATAAAAATGTCATACAAGACATATTGCCCCTTTACATTGGTTGAAATTCCCCAATAACAAGAAGATTATGTAACACGAAAACAAGGAAAGATTTATGATATGGTAACCAAGTGCTTGTTACCCCTTCTTAGCGATTACGTGTCGAATGAGATTTTCAAAACATATATAAAGCCAACGAAATTTCAAATCACAAGCTGCGGGTGAAGACATCAGGTGGTACAGTCACTCAGGTAAGTTGATATTCTTTGTTCAAAATAATTTCCTTTCTATGAAATATTTTGTTTAATAATTTCCAGGTTTATAATTATCGCTTGTTGTGTAATATATATCTTGCAAAATATGAATGTTGGTAGGAATTTTCGCGTTATTCATAGTGAAAATGGAATGGTTTGGTTTGTTTTAAGACGAGTGCCGCAATCACACAGCCGAAAAAGTCTTCTTAGTTGTTAGTGTAGTCTCTCCAACGACCGACAATATCTTCTATGAGCTCAGTTGGTCATAGCTTAATGCTATATTTATTAATAGTTCCAGCCGAGCAAGTTATATTAATTAATAATAATACTTGATAAACGTTTACAGCAAACATTTTAATAATCAATCCCTATAATACTATGAGAATACTTTTCACAAAGTATTTTAATATTTATCAAAGTAACAAAATATTCTAGCTACTACTATGTGTTGATGGGCCGTTAAAACTCTAATAATTATAATAATTGCTAAATATTCTAAAATAATTATTAAACTATTTTTCACAATATAACTTTGTCTATAATTTGCCTTCAGCTCCTCTTCGAGCCTTGGCGCTATGATACATTTAGTACAAGTGGTTAGAGCTACGTACCTTTCATTACAGTCTTTATAGACTCTAAATTCCATACAAGAAGATTGTGATTTTAGTTAGAGATTATTCTACTTTAACTTTGAGAGTATCTAGCCGCTCATTCATTTTGCTTAGCGGAACTATGATAATTTAGCGATGTACATTGCACTGTACCAATGCACAAAAGAATAGAAGGCATTTGATATTGTTAATTTATATTGGTAAAAAATAAGAACGCATCGATGTTGATAATTACAAATACTGCCTATAACAAAAGTCATGTCGTACAACGTATTAACGAGAGATAGTTCGACCAGGCTTAACTTATATTTCGGTGATTTTAGTGATTTTTCAGTCCCTTCAATTTTAAAGCAAGGGAAAAGTCATTCGTTGTCTCGATATCAATTTTTGTCAAAACATCGGCATGTTTTCTGACGAAATTGATCAATAAATACACGGAGTAGAACATCACCTGTATGTAATACTTAGCTAATTACGGCGTGTCGGTCCATCGTAAACAGAAAACATGGTCGCTGGCGATTAATTACCAGTTTAACTATCCAATTAAAAGTTGACTTGTTATCAGTGCCATCGTCCTATAACAGTGACTTACCTGTACGTCGAACAAATAGCTCGTTTACACAAAACATTAAAAATATTTAGCTTGGTTGCGTGCATCTTCAGGAACAGCCAAAACGAAACCGTCAAACCAACTCGATTTTTTTTACCAAATCTGATCCCCACAATTCCGAGAGAAACTAATTTTTGAGCTTGTTTACTAAGGGACTATGGTCGTGAGCTTTGCTAAATTTAGTTCTAAGGCAATCAAGTGCTGAAAGTATTTTTAATTGATAGAACCTATATTTGTGAATCCAGTATAACGGGTAAAATCTTTCTAGTGCCGCGTTTTTACATATGATTATTTATTTATAATAAAGTCATACCAATATGATCTATAGTTTCATTATCGTTTCTAGTAGCGTATCGAAGCAAATTTGATTTTCGTTTTATTGTCATTCCTTAAAATATATTATATGTGCTAGGTCAGTAAGGGTAGTGTACACATGTGCGGGACGGAACGACGTGAGTTCTCATGTATTTGATTGGTGTTATTATAACAATAAAAAGAAAAAAGTAGAAAATTTATTTGTTTCTGTTTATCAACTGTCATTTCAATAAACAGTTTAAATATGTTGTTTGTACCACGATGTATCGTGCTATTGTACTCCTACTTCGTTCAACCGTAAGCGACGTCAGAAAACTGATAACGTTAACCGTGTCTGGACACTTTGTTTGAGTCGAGATATTATACACGGTCCCTTGAATTTTGAGATATCGAGTTTCGACAGTAGGAGAATTCCAATTGTTTCCTTTTTTCAAATTGATTTCTTCAATTATTCTTCTTTGGGACTCTGTCCATTGTTTTTCAACATTTTGAGTTAAGATAAAGCCTATTGTGTGAGTGCTTATATTCATCTAGTAGCTATATTGAAAAAATATAGCATTCATATTTCAAAATTCAGTTTTTCAAACTTTCTGTTAAATGCCAAGCCGTTCTAATAGTATGAAATTTCGAGAAACCTTACACAAGCATTTATTATGTGCTTCTAACAAGGTTTCTCTTTTACTGGGTATAAGTTATATTTTTAGGATGAAGGCCTCACTTGTCATCCTGCTCTTGACTCTTGTTGCTGTTTATGGTACGTATTCCTTACTTTAGTCTGATTTAAATAAAGGATATTAAAGACAGCTTGTTAAAAATAAATTTGCTTCTTGGTCGTTTAGACATTTTATGACCTTCGCTGATAAACAAATGCCTTAATGCTATAGTCTGTATTTGGTGATTACAACAAAGTTTGAATCGACGACAATGGACTTAAATTTTCACAGTCAAAAACAGTTTGTATGCATTTTTGTCAAATTCGGAAACAGCACGACGATCCAAATTTATCTCTTTGTGGCGTACCCATTCCGGTTGTTGAGCAAAATTAAAGTCTTGGGTCTGATATTCGACAAAAAATTGTCGTTCCTTCCACATATAAAATACTTTAAGCCAAATGCCTTAAGGCACTGAATATTCTAAAGGTTGTGTCCCACACTGATTAGGGAGCTGATAGAAAAGTTTTGCTAAGACTCTATAGAGCCTTTATTAGATCAAAATTGAACTACGGTTCCATTGTGTATGGATCTGCTTGACCTTCATATCTCAGATTATTAGACACTGTTCATAACCAAGGTCTCAGACTCGCTCTTGGAACTTTTAAGACCACATCTACAGCAAGCCTCTGTATACAGGCTAACAAACCATCACTGTATAGCCGTCGAAATAAATTGGCTTTCCAGTACACCATTCAGCTAAAGTCAAATCCTTTTAAATCCTGCTTTTTCACTGATATTTGATCCAAAATATCAAACCTTGTTTCAAAACAATCGAAGACCATTCCATTCGGTATTCGAATTTCAATTCTTTTACAAAACACAAATATTGATATTGACCAAATTCAGTCATTTGGAACGATAGAAAGACCACCCTTGCTCTTGAATTCACGTGTGAAGTTGACTTTTCACTTCAGGAAATTGTTAAATCAGACACTGACAGTTACATCTTTCGTTCATTCTTCTCTAAATTTCAGTCAAAATATAAAACCTTTCTACACTTCTATACTGATGGTTCAAAAGACAATGATAAAGTTGCCGCGGTCATGGTTTCACAAGATGAAGCCTGTGGATGCCAGCTACCGAACAACGCCTCAAGCTTCTCTGCAGAAGCGCCATTGAAAATATTCAAGCAACGTTATGAGAGCTTTTATCTATTCAGACTCTCTTTCTGTTCCACAAATTCTTAGCAATAGAAATATCGAAAATATTTTCATTCGTAATACATTAATACTATATCATGAACTTGCTTTTAACTTTCGTATTGCTTTTTGCTGGGTTCCTGGGCACATTCGAATACCATGCAATGAAAAAACAGATCGTGCTTTATTGCTAATACCTGTTGTTTTTAAAAATCCATTGTAGTGATTTTAAATCAATTGTCTAACAATTTTATAATAGCTCAGTGGCAGGAGAAATTGAATCAATATACTAACAATAAATTGCACTCCGTAAAATTTATCATCTGTAAATGGTCTTCATGCTATAGAGACAACACCGAGACAAAGTTGTCCTTGCCCGTCTTCAGATGGGCCAAACATATCTTATGTATCCATATATGATGAAAGGCGAAGATAATCCATTCACCGTTAAACATTTTTATTGGACTGCATTGACCTTCTGTGTACTCGATATTTTTTATCGTAACGGTTGAAGTCTAAATACCATTTTTAAATTTAATAATAACAACAAAATCTTAACTTACTTCTGGGTTTAACAGAGAAATGCCATATCACGCAGTCTTTTTCAAACATTTACGTTTCTTTTGATTGGATATTCAGAGGCTTGTTCACCCATTTTAGTGCGAGAAGTCGTCAAGTGACGGACAAACGCGTGAAATATGGGCTTAAGAAATGCTAGTTGATAAAAATTATGGGAACGTTTTACGGTCGTCAGGGTGAATTCATCGAGAAATATTCTATTTCTTTGTGTGATATGAAGCTTAAAATCATTAATGCTCATTACTTTGCCTGTTGGTTACATTGTTGTATGCCTTGTTCTCATTTGAAAAATGACAATACATACTTGCTTTGCCCAAGGTTTACAAGGCAGGAGTCGTCGATGAAGTAGAAGACGCTTACTCATCTGAAATGCCTCATCTTATTTTCCTTGTACTTTTCAGGAGTCTCTTTGTAAATCTTTCCTTTTTTCGTATTTTGTCCTGGTTTTGGATTACGGGGCGGAAGTCAATCGTAAAATTTGAAAGTTTAAAACCATTGACTCTTGTTGATAGTATATCATTCGATTCAGTTCACGCACTCATTTTTGTGTTATTTGTCATTGACTTCAAGTTGCTCTCATACATGTTTCTATGATCATCTGTTAGTACAATGCATATTATATATTGAGTTTGCGTCATTTCGGCTTCTTTGTACGATGTACATATAGCCTTGTTTTATTGTTATTAGAAGCTAGAAATGATGAGTTATTCGAACCTCAGCCATGTAATAATAATTTGTATTCATCAATCGTCTACTGTCTTGTTGACTCAGGTGACACAGGTAATTGTGGAGATGTTGGCGAAGAATGTGGTACAGGTGGAAAATGTGTGCATACTTGTGTACCATCGAGTGCTGTAGAAAAGAGAAGTAAGTAATAGAATAAAATAGAATAATTATCACTGCAGAATGACAGTATATACGGAAAATACCGATAACATTTGTAAAGGTAAAACATTACACCGAATATATTGGTAGGTTGAAATTTCCCGGAGAGAAAATAAATAATAGAAAACCTACTAAAGGTGCTCCAACATGTGATTGCCTTGACAATCAAAAATGTTCCTGGATTCCACAAGTAAGATCATTCATCAATGTAGTTGAAGCCGGTTAGGTCAGGTGAGACTGACAAATTTTTACTAAAACAAGAGGCCCAAATGGCCTTTACCACTCACCTAATTTAGTTTGCTGAAATTGATTAATTTCAAATAAAGGAAAGATATTTACATTTGTATCTATTTGCCATATTAGGCCACGCCCCTCTCCCCCAGGGGCTAGATGCACTTTTTATTCAAAACAAGGTTTTTTTTTATCTAAGAATGCTTCATAGCAAATCTTGACAAAAATGAATAATTCCAAATAGAAGGATTTTCAAGAATATGTTCTATTTCCACTATTGGGCTCTGCCTCCTCTCGCCCCAGGGAGCCGAAACCAACTGTTCATACAAAACTGATCCCTTTACCCTCGCATGTCTCAGACCAAATGTGGAAAGAGTCATTCTTACAAAAGAAGAATGATTTTTTAAAAACCCTTTTCCTTATTAGGACATGTCTATCCCGCTCAAGACCTAAAATTCTCTGTTTAAAACAAAAATTGAGTCCCCTTTCACTTTAGGATGTTTGAAAACAGATTTAACAAGATCCAATCATTCCTGGAGGAGGAGTAGGATTTCAAAGAATATGCTGTAATTCTCCTATGTGGCCAGCCTTTCCTGCTCGAGGGACTGAAAGCAACAGGTTTTACAAATTTGATTTCCCTTTAAAGTCAAATTTGGGCAAAATCAAGCCATTCCTTAATAATTTTTAAATTTGATCTATTTCCCCCTTTTAGTCCTCGCTATTCTTCCCACTGGAGCGGAGACAACCATTTATACAAAATTGATTCCCCTTCACCCAAGAATGCTTCAGTTGAATGCAGTCACTCCTTCAGGAGAATTTTAAAAAATACTCTATTTCCCCTACTGGGCCGCGCACCGGGGGCCAAAACCCATCGTTTATACAAAATCGATATCCCTACACCAAAGAAAGTTTGTGGTCCTTTTTGGCAAATTAGAATCATTCGCCCTGGAGGGTTAGGATTTACAGTAAAAAATATGTTCTACTTCTCTCCTTGGTCCCCGTCCCTCCCGTCCTGTGGCGGACACGCTGTTAATACAGTTCTTCTGAGACAGTAAGATCAAAGGAGACCGTTGTAATTTATTACGGCACAAGTCTGAGGATGATATCTTTAATATTTTCAACTTAAATGCAAAGTAAAACTTTCCTATGTGAAAAAAAAATGTTTGAAAATCCCACGAACCTTACCTTAATTTGACTCCTGAACTATAGCTTTTAGTAGCACGTACTTCATATATTACCGTGATTTAAGTCATAACCGTAGTCGGCAACAAACCACTATATAGACGTTTACCATTGGAGATTTTATAACCAACGTTTACCACTTTTGTATTTGGCTACTGACGCGTGTCATTAGTATTTGCAGATTGCAAACAAATATGAAAAAACGACTACAGAGAATTTAAAATAAATGTAATACGGTTACGTAAACATCGGACCTGTGTACAAACAAATTCTATTGTTACATAAATAAACAAAGCATCAAGCATCCCTGTTATTTTACGAATCTGTTTTACAGGCATATGATCCTTAACCTGACATAATGATAAAGCAATAATTTAATGAGGTAAAAGGTCAGGAGATTTTCTATAAACAAAAAGCAATGATGTATAGTTTAGTTAGCATTAAAAAATCATCACGTAAAACTCTTAGAAAAATATTTATGATAATTATAAAAATATCACCCGTACGAATGTTCTAGTATTTGGTTTTGATATATTTTTTTTCAAAATGACTTTAATCAGATATTCAGTGAGCAACAAAACAAATATGTTTTATTTACATTTACATGTACAAGAATGTTTTTATGCGGGCACATATCTTTACTGTCTTGAATCAATGCTATATCTTTCGAACTTGTCAATATATTTGACACATGGAATATCAAATTCTCAATTTCAAAGTAATTTAATGTAAAAGGGTCAAAGGGTCTCATCCGACAGCTAATGCAAATTCGTCAAGCAAAGGATACGTGTATGCATAGTGGCAGGGTCATCTGTGTTCTACAGATTTTACTAATTGGTTGATATTCTAAGACCACCTCTGTAAACTTACACAAACGAATATTGTACAGTACTTTCTACATTTTACATCTAGAAATTAGAATACAACGTCTAGAACACATCTTTGTTGTAAATCGAACATCATATATTGTTTGCTAAACAAAAATTCCTGTGATCGCATAAGCTTAAGATGTAAGGTCGTTGTATGGACTAAATCTTGTTTTCAAACGACTTTAATTTCCAAAATTCTATGAAATATTGGAAAAAATATATATCTAAATAGATTGCCAGGTTGATCCATGGCTATGTATCCTAGTGCATCTTGTAACGTCAAAAGTTGACAAGCCTTGTTACTGTTACAAAACATTTATTTCCAAAAGCGACCGACAAGTCCCTCTATATTTTCCAGATTTCTTGCAGGGAAATTGTTTTAAAAATAAGTCGGTGATCTAGTTAGCTGGAATAGATTAAACTGAAAACTGAGATTTGTCTGTGATGATGAATTTGACTATAGAAATGATTATTTTGCACAGTTATTCCGAGAAGTTGATTTTTTTACTATTCTTTTGCATTCCCTTTCTTAGGTTCGTCTTAGTGTATAAACATGCTTTTCTGTAACTCAGGCAAGTCTGTATTGTAAAATATTCACGAAAACAAGTTTTTTTAATCACCAATCAGGTTCTGAGGAAGGAGGCGGTTCCGAAGGTGGAGGCGGGTCTGAGGAAGGAGGCGGTTCTGAAGGTGGAGGCGGTTCTGAAGGCGGAGGCGGTTCTGAGGAAGGAGGCGGTTCTGAAGGCGGAGGCGGTTCTGAGGGAGAAGGCGGTTCCGAAGGTGGAGGCGGTTCTGAAGGCGGAGGCGGTTCTGAGCAAGGAGGCGGTTCCGAAGGTGGAGGCGGGTCTGAGGAAGGAGGCGGTTCTGAAGAAGGAGGCGGCTCTGAAGGTGGAGGCGGCTCTGAAGAAGGAGGCGGCTCTGAAGGTGGAGACAATTCTGACGAAGACGGAGGTAATGGAACAGCTATACCAACTTTATTTTTACCACTGGCATACTTAGGAATTCTGTTCAGGAAGATCTGCATTCCGGAGTAAAAAATAAAAAAATATATGCGATGACATCTGGAAAATCGTCCTAAAAGACAATGAATGAAAGATGTCAACAGTGTTCCACAAATTATTAACTCTAAGCATGCATTGAACCACATTCAAATGTGATGAGCTGCAGTTTTATATAGACTCAATCATTGTGAATCGATTTATCCATATTGAAATTGTATTGTACGCCTAACAATTGTAACGAAATTTGATTACTGCCAAGATTTACTTTTGATAACAGTTTATACCCGGATATATATCTTAAAAATTTCATCGAGCTTCTGTTGAAATTTTGTCTTTCATTTCTGCAATAATTTCATAGAAGTAAACGTGTTTCAGGAATTGTGTTTTTAGATAAAATTGTTGTTAATAATTATACCATTGTTGGAATACACATTAAAACAACGAAGAAAATACTATGTTGCCAACACATTCTTCATTCAAACTCATTATTAACGAAACCAGTGCAAAATACGCTACAAAGATTTACAAGGGGACTAGTGGAAAAAGGAATAAGACCACATACGGTATGTAAATCTTGGTCCATCCATACGAAGTTCCTTAATAAAAGCATGGCTAACAACAACGAAATCACTAGGCATAATTGCGAGCATCAACCATACTCAACTACGTATTGTAATAATCTTCTATGTGCCTCTCTCGGAAACTTTCTAAGGTTATTAGTCTGTTGTTGACATCGCGAAAAGTTCGTGCTATTGGGAACAAACCCTTACATATAAACTCAGCTAGGACTTGCATAAAAACATAGGTTGGAGAAGTATGGTTTTGTTATCTCGAAATGGAAAATCCAGAATTAGGAAAATTGAAATCGTCAATCTTCTGAGTTCATTATTGGTTTCGTTGGAGAAATATAACAAGACAGGTCACTCATTTAGAACATTCTGTCGTGTTCTTTAAGGGACTTAATGGTTAGATTTTCGTACTATGAAAGAAAGGAAAATAATTCGTGATTTGAAATATGCGAAGATAAATAAAATATATAAAGTGTGATTGGTGTTCCAAGAGATCATACATGTCATGCAATTTCCACGTGACAAGTGTTCACACTTTCCTGGGATTCCATTTTCGGCAGGTTAAAACGAGGTTCCGAAAGGTCTTCTCCGATCAAAACAGTGAACGACGGTTACGTCCCTGATAATAGCGATTGTTAACCAGCGCTAGTTTGGAGTTGATAATCTTTGTCAACTTTTCTCCAAAAGTGTTGTAATTTTGTGAAGTCTAATGTTTAGTATTCGAATACTTGTCCGAAAGCAAACACATGGAAGAAACAAAACGACATCTAACCATTTTGTCCCTTCAAAGATCTGTTCTGGTGACGTTTTCAGGTTGTAAAGTGTCCTGGTGTAAGGGAAATAACTTCGTCAGCTAAGTTAAGTGACGTAAATGGAACATTGATTTCGAAGGAAATTTCAGTACATATTTCAATTTTTTGTTTCTTTCATGTTCAAAATCATCACTGTAGCATAGAAAATAATTTGTTTTGCTTTTATTACGTAAAATACTAATATGTATGACATAAAGCAACCGGTGACCGGCAGACTACGATTGTAAACGAAAACCGCAACAGGGCAGCATGACAAGATCATGACATGTCCACAAGTATTATGTCAACACAAACTATAGCAACGTCTTAGTAACTAGCAACAGTTTCTGCATCTTACATTGTGTGCTTGTAATACAAAGAAACTCCATGTGAAGAGGTTATACAGAGCTGAAAACCCACCCTGTTTACCCCGTCGGAGACTCGTGATTACCGGTCTAACGTCGGTTACGTTATTCCCATGATATTTATTGTTCATTAAGACCATTTGTACACCAATTCGATTCAAGTCGATATAGAGATTATACAGAAGTAATAACAACGAAATGAACCGGACATTATTATTACATTATTAACCGCATATATATACTTTATGGAAAAACTCCTCGACTGGGTCCATCATGCTAGAACTACGATGAATTGCCGTTCCTTAAACACAACCGATATTCCGTAAAACTGAACATTTCTTTCTGACTTGTTGAATACGGATACACAAGATTTAGTCAAAAACTATAATTTTCACATGCTTTTGCACGGAGATTATTACTATTGCATTCTTTACGACCCGTCAACACATAATTGCCATTAGAGCCATCAACCAGTGAAACACACATCGATCCAAAGGGAAGTAACAACAAACAAACTAGAAAGTAAAAGACAAATGCTAAAAATCTTAAATGGTTATATAATCAAAAAAATACAAAATAGTAAGCCATATCATATAATAAAGACCATCAAAAAGAGTTTTTAGACTTTAGACTAGTAACGTTATAATACAAAACTTATCGAGTAGTACACCAAAGAAATCGAAAAGTAAAGTTCTTTGAAAAAAAAACACAACTTTCTGGTTGTATTACATTAAGCGTAAGGCCTTGTGCAACGTCATCACATATCAAGGTCACTCCTGAACCATACTACATAGCGTTTGCTCGATGAGCCTTAGTGTGGAGTCCACTGCTTATGGACTTTAAGTCGCTTAGGTTTCTCGTAACTTGCATGCCACGTTTTGATTCATTCGAATAGTGACACGTTTGAGAGCATGCCCATGTTCTTTACGTTAAAAATTATCTGATTTAGGAAAATAACGAAATTTATTTAATTGTGCGGCTAATACACCTCCCCATGTAGATTTTGACCTTTTTTCTCGATCACTTGGTTTTTCCGCAGTCGACTTACAGGCTTCAAAATTTAGGCCCCTATAATCATTCACAAGCCCGAGAACGACGAAACTGCTGTAATAATGTAGTTAAATGTTTGACTCTAAATTTGTATGAAATGGCGCCGTGCTCTTGTTCAGTGAATGTTAAATACACTAAAATTATGCAATTGTTTTGAAAATAATTACATTATATATTATTAATTATCTAGAACAAAGACAAAAAAATTGTTCTAAAATGTGTAGTTTGTTTAACTCTCAGCTGTCTTATGTAAACATCTAAGACGATCTTTCTGTAATGGTGATAATCTCAATCTACTTGTCGATCTGGAATCCATAAGGAAAATGGCCACCTAAATTCACAAACGCCGACAATAAGATATTTTCATTCCGTAAAGCTGGACTATACATAGCTGAGGACATTACCAGCGAAAATGTTCTACTCATGGACAAAGTACGGGCTTGAGACAAAATTGAGTACAGCTGGTATTATAACTGTAGTGTGTATGGTCTCTGTGTTGAAACAAAACAACGAGTGAAATTCAGTTTGTTGATGACATTGACTGCATTGTGAATGAACACATCCAGAGTGTTAATATGAATACAAATACATACGTGGGACAAAAAATAACACAAAAGTAATGGATTATTTGTATGTGTGGTGTAGCAATGTATGAGACTGACCTTTGAACTGTCCTTTGAGTCTCTTACGGATTTTCTGTTCAGAGAGGTAAGTCAATGATCAAATCACTGTTTGTTAACATGCACTTTGTTCAAGTGACTTTTTTCTCTTTTTTTTAGTGTTGTATATATGAAACTCAATTATTTTTTGTCAAAATTTGCAAGAATTTATGTTGTAATACAGTTGCTGAGTGCACATGACCAAATATCAAGTTTCAGTTTAAAATTATATGACACTCATATCAAGTAGATCAAATATTGCAGATTCTTCATAAGCTCCATTGTTTTCAGTGTGATTCCATTTCTTTTTCCATGTAGTAATAAGAGGTCGTGATCATAACATTAAATTATTTATACTTGATGTTTTACCAACATTTGCAATTTGATATCGTGATTTCTGCTACATTTCTACCACTGACAGGGAAACAAATGCAAAACCTTACAATAATCTCAAACTGTTAAAAAAAATAAACAAATAAAAATAAAAATAAAATTTATAGTATACTATATATATAATTATATATATAAAGCATTTTAACTATATATATATCCTATGAATGTTTGTAGAAAGTTTTTCCATAATGTTATTTTTATGGATAACACATGCTGTACAGCCATGCAGTATTATAAGATAATGAAACAGTAAGATGGTACTATAAACATGTGTTTGGTAATCTTGAGTACCATTGATAAGACAGTGATTATGAGAAAATTCTGTTTTATATTCAATGTAATTATATATGTTCGAGTGATATATGTTTCAGTAATACAATAAAGATTTTGAACCCCAGTATGAATGTATCTGTAACCTCGATACCTACATGTAGCATGGATGACTGGCCTGTGGTTGTGTATCTGGTATCAGTATTTATTGTTGATGATGTGCCTTTTCAATAATATAAACATTATCATAGTATTCTGATTTTCTAAGTCATTATTATATATTGGATAATCTCAATCTTGATGATAATTTATTTGTACTGAAGATATTATTGTCCAAACATGTATCTATTTTCACTATTCATATGGAGTCACAATATTTTAATTAGCCTATATTACTAATTGTATAAAAATGGATTTTCAATCTTCTGATACTTATCTGAATCCAATTTTGCCTTGTGTAGAGGACCAAAATATTAGGAACGCTCAGAATGTCGGGTATGCCAGTCCAAATATGGATTTTATGTGTACTTTTGGGGGGAATTCTGGAATTATGGTATGTACTACTGCCTACAAGCAATGTTTATAAGCAGATCAGCCCAAAAGTTACAAAGTGTGTTAATGACTCTTCTGGTGGTGTCATGTTATTTTGTGTCGAGTCTCTAGCAGCAATGGTTCTCTGTTTTCAATCAATTTCTTTATTATCAGTTAGAAAAGAATATAAAAGTTTTGGGGTATGTGGTACTATCAGGATCAGTATTCTCCCTCCTAAACCTTATATTCTAACTAGCTTCTGTCTCTGTTTCTATCCCCTACAGCCTTTCTCTATTTCTTCTGTTGTGTTAATATACCCTTTGGCTATCTTCTTTCTTCTCACCCAAGCATCCATGGAAGGAAAATCTAATAAGTTAAACATTAAGTATAGGTGAAGGGGTAAAG